GGCGGTGGGTACGGGGTCGGGGTGCCTATTGGGATTCAGGGGGGCTTGAACACACGAAAGATCCCCAGGGAGGGAGACGATGCTCCCGCTGCCCAGGGCTGCGAGTGGGCACAGGGGAGGGGGAGGAAGGTGGCACGGGGTGCAATGCAAGAGGCTGGGGAGGCAAGACTGGGGGAACGTGACTGGTGGTGCCAGCAGGAGAGACCCTGGGCTGAGCTGGTGCTGTGGGGAGAATGCAGGAGAGCCCTGCCAAGGGCTGAGGAGGGGAGCTGCCCTGCACTTTCCTTTGTCCTCCCGTTCCAACCCATGTCTGCCATCATCACCTGGACAAGCAGAGCGAGGAGAGCTGGTGGCCCCGGAGGCTGAGCCATGGGCTGGTCACACAGCTCCTTGCTGGGGACCACCTTCCCCTGGGGGAAGCGGAAGGGCCCCCAGCTCCTCCAGCTCTGCCCACCAGAAGGAGAAGACCCGTGGCTGTAGCCCCATGGCTGTGCTCAGGGCAGCTCATTACCCCGAGCAGAGGGACTTTGCAGGGGACTTTCACAGGTCACTTCTGGTTTGCACCTTCTCCTGTGGGACAGAGAAACCAGTCCTCTTCATCCCTCCCCCTTTTACTTTGGGGGTTGGGGGTTTTTTTTGGATCCCTTTGGCCAAAAGCGAAGAGGACACTCCAAATGGCATCAAGTAAATCGCTTGACACCTGGGCGATGGTGTGTTTGTCAGAAGTGCAGGACACTAGAAAATACCCAGAGCCGCTTCCTGCACTGCCTGTGCGGGCACGACTGCTCCGTGCTGCCGCATGGCTTGGCCCCGTTCTGCCTCCCCTCTGCCCTGGGGTGCTCCACCCCATGCCCCGCGGCTTTGCCATCCCCACCAGTGCTGCCACAACCCTCTGGGTCACCTTGTGGCAGCACGCCAAGCTGCTACAGAAATTAAGGCCTGATGTAGCTCTCTGGTTGGCAAGATAGCTGCTGGCAAGGCAAGGTGCAAGGCAAGGCAAGGGGCATCGGGGTTCCTAGTCAGGGCTGTGTGTGTGTCATGGCTGGCAGTGACAACCTGGGGTCGTGGTGGAGCAGGGGCTGGTTTGCAGATGTGTTCCTGGTTTGCTGCCATGCCACTGTGGTCACCGTGTCCTGGTCACCAGCCTTTGGATGACTGCACCAGAGAGACAGGTGAGAGGAAGATGATGGCAGTGCCAGTGGGGCCAATTGCTCCCAGGGTTCAGTTTGAGCCCAGAATGGGAGGCATGCCCTCTGCATCCGAGGGTGCTGCCTAGGCTCCCACGTGCGAGTGGGAGCCATGACTTTCTGTGTGACAAGTGTCAGCGCCTGCTGCATCTGTGCCTTGGCGCGGGTGGGCTGCGGGTGCAGACCCTGCTGTCAGGTGAGAGGTATGGGAACGAAGCCGTTGGGGCACAGCAACTGCCTGGGTGCCTTTTGCACATCCCTGCCCTCTGCTCCCACCACCCTCTTGGGAGAGACTGGGGTGATGTGGCTCAGGGCTGTGCTCGGCTGGGGCACCAGCACAGGGGGGCAGGCGCTGCTGGGGATGTATGGACCCCCTCGCTGAGTTGCCCATCTGTGTTTTCACCGGTGGGCGCACCTGGTGCCAGCTGTGCCATGCACCTGTGTGCTTTGGGACCTGCCCCCACGCTGTCTCCTTGGCAGTGCATGGGGAAACCTCTGAGCTCCCCTCCGTGTGCTCCCAACCGCATAGCGGGTACCAGGACATTGCCTGCTCCTTGGCTTGCTGGGGCAGGAGCCTGGGAGCAGCTCAGCTGGCTCCACAGCGCTCTCCCCACTCCAGTGCTGGGCAGGAGGGCTCAGTGCTGGCAGTACAGGGGCCTGGTCGTAAGGCTGATGGGCTGCTCCATTCCGGGAGGTCTTTCATCTGTTGTTTCTCCTGCTCTGGCCTTGCATTTGCCTCTTAAGGCTGCAAGGAAACATCACTCCTAGTTTGCCTTTTGCTTCTGCTCACCAGGTAATGCCGTCTCCTAGGCAGAGACCAACCTGTGTTCCTTGCAGCCTGTCCTCCCACTAGCAGTGACCCTGCTGAGCAGTGCTCTGCCCAGCTCCCAGACCTGAGCCCTCTGCAGTGGCTTCTGACCTGATGGTGTCACTCTGGGAGCACTAAGCTGGGAGACAGGATCCCAGCTCCTCACAGAGGCTGGGGTGGGCTGCTGCAGCAGTGGCTGCTCCGGGGAGAGCTAAGCAGAGCACGTTCCCTGCAGGTAGTGAAGATGTCCAGCAGTGACCCCGAGCGCCCCCAGTTCCTCTTCGTGAAGGTGCTGGCAAGCCGGGGGCGGCTGGAGGCGGTGACCCAGCAGATGGGCTACCACCCGCAGTACCTCGACAGCTTCCTCAAGATGCAGCACTACCTGATGCACATGGATGGCCCACTGCCCTTCGACTGCCGGCACTACATCGCCATCATGGTGAGTTCTGCTGGGAGCTGCTGGAGGGGGCAGGGGGCTCTGCTCAGCCTTGTGAGGCTCCCCGCTCAACCTCCACTGCACAGCCTGTGCCATGGGCTTCTCTGCTGAGGCCAAAATCATGATGTCCTGGAGGCTGGGCAAGAGGCGGGCACGGGGTCCCAGGACACCTGTGTGGTACAGAGATGCTGATGTGCTGCTCTTGCAGGCAGCCGCCCGGCACCAGTGCCGGTACCTGGTGAACCTGCATGTGCTGCAGTTCCTGCGGGCAGGGGGCGATCCCCAGTGGCTGCGTGGCCTCGACTTCATCCCCCCCAAACTCCGCAACCTCAACGAGATCAACAAGATCCTGGCACACCGGCCATGGCTCATCACCAAGGAACACATTGAGGTACTGGGGAGGCTATCAGCCAGGGACCAGTGCAGCAGCGGGGACAGCAAGCATCCCCAGGGGGTGCTGGCACCCTGCTTGCTTGCCCGCATCCCATCGCTTGTCTGTCCATGTCCTGCAGAAGCTGCTGAAGATCAGTGAGTGGAGCTGGTCGCTGGCGGAGCTGGTGCATGCCGTTGTCCTCCTGGCACACTGCCATGCACTCGCCAGCTTTGTCTTCGGCTGGGGGTGCGAGCAGGATGAGGGGCCGGGAGGCCGAGGCTCACTGAAGCCCTTGTCGCCTGGGAACCAGTGCTTCTGCGAGGCCACCGCCGGCAATGGCTGCAGCCAGGAGCTGCTGCGCATCAACCGCAAGCGGGTGAGCCCCCGAGGGTGGGTCCACGAGGGATGGGGGGTGCGACCAAGACCACTGCCCTCACCCCCAAGCCTGTATCTGTGCAGTCCCTGGACTCCTGCATGGAGCTGGATTCCCTTCGGGAACGCATACAGCAGATCCACATGGAGACCGAGGGCAGGGAGGATACAAGGCTGCTGCAGCAGGACCGAGAGGAAGGTGAGGGGCAAGAAGCGGAGGTGGGTGTGCAGGATGGGAGTTTGTATGGCATACCTGGCTGTTGCTTCCCCACGTCCATACTTATATTTTCCTTGATGTACGGTTTGAAGAGGGGGTCCTGGGCTGCTGGCGGGGGGGAGAAGGCGGCAGTGGAGCTTCCCAAAGAGGCACAGCAAGGCCTGGCTTTTGACGCCTGCTGCAGCTCGGAACAAGGCAGCTGAGCGTTGCTCTGCCCTGTCTGCGGGGCTCTCCCCTCTCACAGATACTGACGGGGAAGTCACCGGTGCCACCAATCTTGCATGTTACATGCAGGACCCTGACTTTGGATACCAGGACTTTGCCCGGCGCGACGAGGATCAGACGCAGGTATTCAGAATCCAGGTGAGGTTCCTCTGCTCTCTTAGCGGGCAGCAGCCCAGGCTGCCAACTCTCCTCTCCGATCCACTCCTGGTGGGGAGCAGACAGTCGTGGGGGTGCCTGTGCAGCCCGGATCTGATGCAGCTGCCTTTGCAGAATGTCTGAGCGGGGAAGCTCAGGTCTGAGAGGGGACCTGCCCCACTAGGGTTGGGGAGAGGGAAGTGACGAGTGACTTCTGGCTCCAAGGGCTGCTTTCTTCACATCGCCCTCACAGAGGCAAGGGTCAAAATCATTCAAAAGTTGCCTGATGGGGGATGTTGTGGTGTATGGCAGAGCCGCCCCCAGAACAAACCTATTGGATTCTGCTGCATCCCAAGGTCTCTAGCCCTTCTTCCTGGGAACATGGCCCGGGCTCCTTTTTGCAGTTGTGAAAGCCTCTTGCTGTGCTCAACAGGATTACTCCTGGGAAGACCACGGCTTCTCGCTGGTCAACCGGCTTTACTCTGACATTGGGCATCTCCTGGATGAGAAGTTTCGGATGGTGGATGGTCTGCAAAGCAGTGCCATGGCCAAGCGGCAGGGCTGTGAACCCTCTGTCTTCAAGCGGGGCATCTGGAACTACATCCACTGCATGTTTGGCATTAGGTAGGGCAATCAACCTCGTGGTCCAGGGGAGAAAACTGACTTGACCCAGGCAGGGTAGAGCACTTGAGCTGTCTTGCAGATGGGCTTGGAAAAGAGATGGAGGTTGGGCCAGGCAGGGGAGCGATACTCAGCTTCTCTGGCCGGGGCAGGGCACTTCAGGACGGGGCTTCAGTGCCTGGTGGCCACTGCCATGTGTCCCCCTGCCCTGCAGCTGTGCTGTGCCCCAGGCAGACCATGGGCGAGGTGCTCTGTAGGGACACGGTGCTGGCCATGACTCACCACTGTGCTCCCCGCAGGTACGATGACTACGACTACGCAGAAGTGAATCAGCTCCTGGAGCGAATGCTCAAAGTTTACATTAAAACTGTAACCTGCTACCCAGAGAAGACAAACCCAGAAATGTTTGACAGGTTCTGGAAGCAGTTCAAGCACAGTGAAAAGGTGGGACAGATGGCCCCTGGCTCTGCCTGACTGAGGTGGGGCTGAGAGTGGGTAGGGGCTGCAGGCTGGGGTTTTTTCGCGGAGTGCACAGGAAACCTTTCAGCCACCAAACTAATCCAAGACAGGTGGAGGAAAATGAAAACTGGCTGTTTGTAAGGAGTTGGGCTTAGCGTGGCGTGGGTCTGCCCGCAGTGCGATGAGCACAGGGGCCACTGTCAGTGCAGGGATCTCCAGGGCCATTACCCCATCAGTGAGTGCCTCCAGGTGAGCCCTCGGTCCAGCTGTAACTTGCAGGAGCGGCTGCTGCGGGCAGCAGGGACTGTGCCAGTGCCAGCCTGACATGCTGGTGCCCAGTGCGCCAAGGACTCCCCAGCACACAGCTCTGGGAGGCAGCCACAGCCTGCAGGACTGGGAGGAGGGGGAAAGGGCAGCTGCCTGTGCTGGAAAAATTGGTGGCACTCGCTAGCCCAGGTGGGCACTTGCTTGCTCTGCTGCCCACAGCACGCTGCAGCTGCCTGAACTTCTCTTGCTTCTCTCTTAGGTCCACGTGAACCTGCTCATCCTGGAAGCCCGAATGCAGGCAGAGCTGCTGTACGCGTTGCAGGCCATCACCCAGTACATGATCTCCTAGATGGTGGGGAGCTGCGCTGCGGCAGGGCCGGGCAGCACCCGCTCCCCCTGGACTCACATGTGACCCATC